CATAAAAAATACCTTGTGCTAACATGCATTGAACATTTTTTTTGAATTAAAATGATTGAAGAAAATGGCGGCACACTTCTCTAGCATTAGGGCTGCAGCTAAGGATTATTTTCATAATCGATTAATTGGATTTATAACAAAAATTATTTCAAATAAAATACGCTGCGAAACCTGACATGTGAACTTCTTTGATTGAGAGCGAAAACTTCTGGGTACATCTGGTGAGTGCATTATTAAACAAATAAGGAGCACGGACTGCTGACACTGAGATATATAACCAAAAGGAAACAGTTTAATCAAGTGGAAAAGGACTGCACACTTGTAACACTGAGCTGTCTTAACGGACGGAAGGACGGAGGAGCAGCAGCAGCGGGGGATTTCATAGTCACGGCCACAGTCCCTTCTCCCCTCTCATGCCGGCTGCAGCGGTCTGTAAAAGGGACACAGACCGCTGCAGCCAGCACCAGCAGGAAAAAGAGACTGTGGCCGTGACTCTGAAATCCTTACTGCTTCCCCCTCATACCTCCGCTGCCTGCAACTAATCGAAAATCAACTAATCGATAATAGTTGCCAACTATTCTCATCATCGATTTAATCGATTAGTTGTTACACCTCTATCTAGCATATCATCAAGAATTGACAAAACAACCATTTGTTCTATGGGGTCTGACAGTAGAATAAAAGGTATCAAAATCATCTGTATTACACAGCATTCAGAGCCTATACCTCCCTAGCATACCATATTCCTCCCCATAACACAATCATGTCCACAAGTATTCATTATAGCTGGCAGGCTCAACACTGATGAACTGCTGGATAATGGGTCCCACGGTCAGAGCCCTCTCCCATGATGGAACAGATTTAGGAATATCAAGGCAAAGTAAAGGCTCTACAACAGTCACACATTCTGTTCCAAATTTTCTTATCAGCCTACATAGCATTCTGTGGATATTTAAACACTGGAGGAATTATCATATTAGAGCAAACTGTTGGCGCTATATAAATCCTGTAAACCCATAATTATAAAATACTAATAAAGTATAAACACATTTTAGGTCCCATTTAGATCTACGTGCAGTGTTAATTTAGTCGACTATAATGTTTCGTCATAGTTTTCGTTATCTGCGTGTTTTCACTGATGAACTAAATAAAAACCAAGTTAATAGGAGGAAAACTGATGAAAACACATTGCAATTGTCTCTACTGGAGATTTAGTTGCCAAAACTAAACAGTCACACCATATGCAGTTGTGATGCAGTCAAAATACATCACAATGCTTTCCTATGGGCTTTCTCGTGCTGTATTCTCACCATTGCAGTCCGTTCAGATGCAGTCAGAAAAAGTACTACTTGTCTTATTTTACACGCATCAAACTGCATCGAAACGCATCAAAACGCACCGGAACGCAAACAAAAAAGACTCAGAATTGATTATGTCAATATCCAGGGACTTCCTCTAGTGTGGAGAGAAAGTGAAGAGATGGAATTTGTGGATGCAGATGATTTTATCCAATATGTGCGGGACTGTCCCGTGCTGTACGACAGCACACATATCGACGTCGCTTGCGAAGGGGTTGTCGGAGAATGGCTATAGTCAACACTAGCACCATGCCAGCCAAAAAAGAAAGCATGTCAGATCTCCAAAACAAATGTAGGAAGAGGAAGTGACCTAATTGTCTAATTAGCATTTTCTAGTGCAGAAAAAAAAAGCATCAAAACGGATAGCAGTGCAACTGCACAGACGCACGCATTTGTGATGCAGTTTCTGGTGTGAACTGGGCCTAAATGCGTATTTTAGTCATCTGAATTCTTTTAGTTTTGTCGACAATCTCCAGTAGAGACAATTGCAATGCATTTTCATCATAGTTTTCCTCCTATTAACTTGGTTTTTATGTAGTTTTCATCAGTGAAAACACGCAGATCACGAAAACAATGACCAAACATTTAAGTCAACTAAATTAACACTGTCTACATGAGTTTGTGTAGAAGTGTGTTTCTTTGTAGTGTTAGGCGTTGTCACACATCATGCATTTGCTTTTCACAAAACCATGCGTTATCAGTGCACATTTCCAATGCATTTTTTAAACTAGTATTTAGAGTAGATGGCCAAAGTTACACTAAAAACTCAAGCGTTAAATCTTAAAAATACTTCCAAGTACCTTAACTATTAACATAAATGTATCTTATTTGTGTTACTCGGCTGTAGATCCTAAAATCATCTCTGAATTGGTGCCGACACTGTCCTTCCTTCTGGAGGGTGACTACTTTTGTTCCCCATGGTCACTGTGTGTGTTGTTAAGTAGTCACCGCTCCAAGCTCGCTCCAGTGATGGACTACAATCTCAATACAAATTAGTTAATTAAACTGAGATAATATTTAATCACGGGGAGGTAGCTTGGAGCGGTGACTAGTTTAGAACACACACAGGGATCATGGGGAACAAAAGTAGTCACCCTCCAGAAGGAAGGACAGTGTCAGCACCAATACAGAGATGATCCGAGGACCTACAGCTGAGTGTAGGGCTGCAACAACTAATCGACATAATCGATTATAGAAAAAGTTGTCAACGTTTTCAATAATCGATTAATCGGCTTCCGATCAGTTGGCCCTGTTCACAGCTCCACACACTGTGCGCCGCACCTCCTCCCCACCTCACACTCGCCGCTGCCAGACCCGCTCGCATCCACGCTCCACACGCCGCACCTCCTCCCCGCCTCACATTTCCTGCCCATCCACATCCACGATCGGCACAGGGACGCGGGGAGATGTAGTAAGGAGGAGCAGGTGTGGGGGGATGACAGCCGCTGATAGACAGGTCCGATCTCAGAAGCAAGTTGCTGGAAGACTGCTCAGGTAAGCCTGCACTTTCCCACACATGGTGCTCTATAATGTATTGCTGGGATTTGTATTTCTCTATAGCTGATGGTACATTGTGCTGTATATTATACATAGGAATACAAATCCCAGCAATACATTATACACTGTATGTATAATGTATTGCTGGGATTTGTTGTACTCCTCTATAGCTGGTGATATTCTGCATTGCGCTGTATAGAGGACTACAAGTCCCAGCAATAATACATTATACAGCGCAATGCAGAATACCACCAGCTATAGAGGACTACAACAAATCCCAGCAATAATACATTATAAAGTGGTACAATGCTAAATACCACCAGCTATACAGGACTACAAAACCTAGCAATAGTACATTATACAGCTCAATGCAGAATGCCGCCAGCTATTATGTACTATTGCTGCGATTTGTTGTATTCCTCTATAGCTGGCGGTATTCTGCATTGTGCTGTATAATGTACTATTGCTGGGTTTTGTAGTCCTCTATAGCCGGTGCCATTCTGCATTCATTGCTGTATATTTTTACACTTTCCATTTCACTATATTGCACACCACACTATCTTTTTTCTTTTTTACTTCCACCGCTCCAAGCTTGCTCCTGTGATGGACTACAACCTCAATACAAACTAGCAGTCCTATCACTGGAGCCATTTTTTAAACTTTATTTTATTGTTTATCCGATTAACCGATTAATCGAACCTAATAATCGGCTAACTAATCGATTTTGAAAATAATCGTTAGCTGCAGCTCTAGCTGAGTGATACACAAATAAGACACATTTTTGTTAATAGTTAAAAGGTACTTTAATGCATTTTTAAGATTTAATTCCTCAGTTTAGTGTCACTTTAAACTCTCAATTTGTTGTCAATAATGAGTCCAGATCTAACATATATACATTGCCCAGCAGTTCTTTATAGTTTTACCAATACACTTACAGTCATCAATATTTCAAACAGCTGGCTCCAACTCTCTCAGCTCAGCTGCCCTCAACCTCCTGTCCAGTACAAGATCACGAGACATAACAGTCTCCAGGACCGATCTACTAGCTTGTAAAAGAAAAAAAAGGGAGGACAGAGGAGTGGGAAGGAAAGGAATGTCTTGCTGTGTCTTGTGTGTATGTGGAGATACACACAGCTTACTAGCATGCGCAAGGGTGGCTCCATAGGATCCTGCAAGGGAAAGCAGCCACCGTAAGACGGGAAAGCAGCCACCGTAAGACGGGAAAGCAGCCACCGTAAGACGGGAAAGCAGCGCCAGAGCTCAGGGGACCAGCTGATTCTGCAGGAAGCTAAAACTTTTAAACATCGAGAAGCAGCATCCATTGTAATGATGTCATCAGAATGTGAAATAGCTTAAAATTCTTTTGACGGTATTATCACTTTAATATACAGGTCAGTGTGAATGAGCCCTTAGCGCATCGGAACACATGTGTTACAATAAAACAGTGTACATGGGCCCTTATGCTTCCTAGATCACTGCATTTTTCATGGGTTCAGCCCAAACTTAATTTCCAATAAGACCCTGAGCGTTCTGCTCAGGATACAATTTTCCCTAAACTCGCAGTCTCATACACACGGCTGTAAAAGAAATACACGTTGCAAAGTGTTTTTTGTTTATGGATCTGAACGCAGGTGTGTATTGTTTGCAATGGAGCCATGCACACAGGTGTGCAAACATGCTTTGCATTCAGATCTGTAACAAAATGGGAAAAAATCTGCCTCTGAGGACATACCTTTTACGCATGTTTGTGTATATATGCGTACACGTTAGCATGTAAATGAAGTCCAAACAAAAAAATGACACTAAAACCTGAGCAGGAGGAATGGAACAAGAAATGTACGCATTAAAACGCATGTGTTTCCGCATCTAAACGCAACGTGATCAGTACCCAGAAGGTTTTTGTCCAGATAAAACACACATGGGTATATGAGTACATTTCTTAGGGCCCTGTACATGTAGCACTGAGATGATTGTTCTCATACACCTAGCACAGGGGAGATCTCAGGTGTTTCATGATCAGATCGTATAACAAGGCGCAGGTAACAGTACACATCACACGATGGTCGTCCATCCACTGTCACAGCATCATGACAGCCCGTGTCACCGCACCACACACACACAATGAACGGCTCCCCTCCCCCTTACCGGCCTGAGTGGTGTCACTGAGGTCCTGGCGGACTGCGCTCCGCGGAAACTCTCTCAATTTCCTGCCGCTTAGATTGAGGAATCCGGTCACCGCAGCCTCCTCCAGAGCTCTCTCTAAGGAGCGGTTCCATGCGGCAGGCCCCGCACTAGTTCCAGGAGCGCTAGTCGCGCTGTGTCCATTAAAAACCATGGCAGAAAATCCGGGCACGGCCGAGCCCTCGGCCAGTACCGTGGCCGCCATCACACAGACTCCGCACTGCGCCTGCGTTAGCGAACTGACGGGAAGCGGCAGCCAGGGGCGGAGACGGTCTGTATGCAGCACAGTGTGTGGGGAGGACTATGTACGCCTGCCTTCCACCCCCTCCCCTCCCCTCTGTATGTGTGGCTGTGGTTGCTGGAGATGAGGGAAACTATTACTCATTGGTGACAGTGGGGAGCTCACGGGCCGCAGCCTTCCTATTGCCCGGATGTGCCGAAGAGCATGCGCAGTACCAGCAATGACGTCAAAGGCAATGTCTCCCCCTATTGGTGTCATTTGTCAGTTTAGGCAGTGAGCACCGAACGGGCACTAGAGGCTGAGCAGCGTAGTAGTAAAGTGTCAGAGATTGAGTGCCATTTTCCTGGCGCCTCTGCCTACTTATAGGTGGTATGGAGATCTGTAGTGAAGTGTAAAATCTTTCTTCTCTGCTGCCTACATATATACTTCTTGACTTTAATTATAAGAACCAACTATGCTGGACCTTTCTACCAGAAGCTGGCAGACAAATCTAAACAATGTGCATTATGTAATTAATAATGACTTGTAATTATTAATTAAGTAATTACTTGCCTTTCTGAGCATTTTGGTGCATATGGAGTTTAAAAAGCATATGCAAGTTAAGTCATTCTGTTGGTTAGAATATTAATTTATTGTAAAGTCACTAAAATTAATTCACATGCATACGCACACGTTTACACACATTTATGCATAAAATGTGGCACTGAGCTTATGGTTACCACCTTTTCTTCAAGCGAAACTCGAACACTCTAGCAACGCACTGACATTTTTTTTGGGAGAATGAGTCGTGGCTTATTCATATGTAAATATCACAGTTGAGACGATTTTCAGTGGGGGCCAGGAGCCCCTATCTTAAAGGAGAACTATGAGGTTAGGGATTTTTCCCCATAGTTCTCCTTAGGGTAAGGGGAGGACACAAACTAGCATCCTCCCGTCACCCTAGGCTCAGTATACTGTGAGCTACAGCTCGCAGTATACTGAGACGCCGCAGCTGAAGCGGATCCCGACAATTATGAGACCTATCTAGAGGCAGAGCCAGCTGTACACGCCCCCTCCCCCGTCCGTTCCGCCAGTCAGCGCTGGCAGATCGGAGCAGGGAGGGGGGAATCCAGCTCAAGAAGTGAGCGAACGCCGGTATGTGTTCGCTCACCTCCCGATCTGCTGAGCCGACCTGTGGCAGTCTCATTGTCACAGGTCGGCTAGAACTATGAGGTGAGTGAAAAGCACTCACCTCATTGTTCTCCTTTAATTTTGGTTGCCCCTGTCTGCATGACATCTTGTGTCCGGGTTTCTGCTGCCATGAAACCCAGAAATAGTATTCAAAACCTGGACTGTCCAGGTGAATCCTAAACAGGTGGCAACGCTAACTGAGCTCCTCCTCATTTTTTTATGTCCCTGAACACTGCTCTAAAATATCACATAGACAATTGGCTAAAATAGAGCTGCGTTTGGAGGCATAACAAAAAATGCCTCTAAAAACTGCGTTTGTTTTCTTGGCTGTGTGCATGAGGCCTTACAAAAGCATGCTCCCCGGTAAATAACTCCAAGAGCAGCTGACAAAAGAAAAGGATGAGGGTTCTTTTTTTTTTTCTTCATTCTCCCAATGTAGGTTTGATCACAAAAGAAAAACAGGTTAAGTTTGCATAAGCAACTGCCATGTTTCAAATCTTTTCCTCCATTCTTAACGTAGATGTAAGCCCTGCCTGGTGACTTTTACATTCCCAGCAGCTTCTTTACAGCCACTTCCTGTCTACATGCCCTTGATCCATTAACATTTACACATCATTACTCAGGACGAGCTTGTTGACGGCGAAGACATTGAAACTTGGTTGCATAATGTGTGTTGGCAGCTTAGGCCCCATTCACAAGGGGGCACATGCTACTTTCTGGGATTCCTGTAGCAAAAAACTTATAGATTCCTGCAGGAGGAATCCCAGGTGCCTCCAGAAATGCGGCAGCTGTGCCCATTGAAGTAAATTACAGGGTGATGGTGGCTGCATCTAAGGTGACCATACACTGTGCGATTATCGCACGATAATCGCGGGAAATCCCGCAATCGTACGATAATCGTGAAGTGTATGGAAGGCGTGTTATCGTTTTTACTGTACGGTCGCACGTCTTTTGTCTTAGGAGCATGCTAGAAAACCAGCCGACAATCGTACGATTTTCGGCTGGTTTTTAGCATGATCGTAAGATCAATGCCGCACGGGCCGGTGTGCGCACGCGCACACTGCCCGTTCAGCATTGCGGTCATCGCAAGCCCGCCCCTCAGTCGGCCGGGCTTGCGATGATCGCAAGTACGATCTGCCTGTCCAAGATGGGCAGATCGTACGTTTTTTAATTACTTTACAACCATCGCAAGACTAAGGTATTGCGATGGTTGTAAAGTGTATGGCCACCTTTACAGGGTGACAGCAATCGAATCTGTCAGCGTCAGTCAGCATGTAATCACACATGGTACGATTACATGCGGTTTGAGATAGATGATTGTCTCTGGATGCAGGATAGAGACATCCAGTAACAATCGTTTACCTCAAACCATGTGTAATAGTACCATGTACAATTACATGCAGACAGCCACTGACAGATGCAGACGCTGTCACCCTGTAATTTACTTGACTAGGAACAACAGCCACATCTCAGGGACACCTGGGATTCCTGCCCCAGGAATCTGTAGGTTCTTGATGCAGGAATCCCAGAATACGCCATGTGAATGTAGCCTTAGGGCCGGTTCACACCATAAAGAGTGCGTTACAGAGCATTCGGCCTCTGGAACGCAACCCGGCCAGCTCACTTTGTTTTGGGGTGGGAGGGGGCGTGCGGTGCATTAAAGTCAATGGCATTGCAGCCACGCCCGCAGTGCGATCGGCGGCACCGGAACACATTGGTGCTTGCGTTCCGGTCCAGTGCGATCTGCAAAATCGCACTGGACCGGAGCACAGGCACTAATGTGCCACGCTTTCGGGTGCTGCCGATCGCACTGCGGGTGGGGGGCATGGCTCAATGCACTGCCACGCCCCATCGCACTACGGGTGGGGGGTGTGGCTCAATGCACTGCCACGCCCCAAAGCAAAGTGAGCTGTCGGCCGAACGGTTTGCGTTCCAGTGCGTTCCAGAGGCCGAGCGCTCTGGAACGAACTCTTTATGGTGTGAACCGGCCCTCACAGTCCCCACTAAAAGCAGATGTTACAGGGAGGCAGGGACAAAGCATTGTCACCCCATAACAGGAAGTGTCTGAAAAAGGACCTTTTGTGGCTGGACTACTAAGTATTATTTTAATGAGATTTCTTCAACATGTTAAAGATTATATGAGATTTTAATTGGTTTTACCCATGCTTTCATAAATTACCCATAATTAATTTGTATGGTCCCCTACTCTGTTCAAACCTTTCATTATATCAGACAAAACACTTTAAGATAACACTGTTGGGGACTGTGAGTGTAGTCTTGGATGTCATATGAATAATGCATACTGACATGGATACTGTAATTCACAACAGACACAATTAATATTTATAGTGTAGCATGGCAACATCCTTCTTTCTTCTATTGACTAACTAAAGGAATGCTGGCCAACTACATGACTTTAATTAATAACAATTTAATAAGCTGAAGATAAGCTTATTACATTGTTAAGATAAGCCTATCACTGAAATTAATAGGCTGCAAACGCACCAGAACGGACAAAAAACGAAAATGGACTTACAGCATTACTTCCAACACGGCAGTGCGTTGTCATGCATTATAGTGCGCCAGAGCATACTCGTATTGGAGGTGTGTTGCCTTAGTGTGTTTTGATTGTCATTCATAACAAATGGAACTGCAACATGCTAATGCATATAAAGTGAAATAACATGCACTGCAATAATGTGCATTGAGTAAACGTGCAATTTACCTCAACACCCCGGACAGAAGAAGTGTAAATGCAATGGGCACTTAAAGACACAGCATTCCTATAAAGTATTCACTGGCATGAGTTCAAGAGTGTCTTATGGGTTTTAAGAAAGTGGCTTGAAGCTCGCGGAAAGCATTGTAAATACTTGGGGTTCACAGACTAGCATTTTCAAGATGAAGTCTAGGTAAGTTGGTAAAGTCTTAACTACTTGCAATCCGGAGCAATTTCTTACCATTTGCGCACACATGATAAAATATACATTTTTGGCTAGAAAACAGCTTCAGACCCCCAACAATGATATATTTTCTGGAAGCTGAGGCCCTGTAAAATAAAAAAATGCTAGGTGCAATTTTTTACGTCGCACGCTTTTTGCGCAAATGTTTATCAAACCTGTATTTTTAGGAAAAAATAAACGAAATTAAAATTTAGTGCACAGAGACATAATATAATACCCACATTTTTGGTAAAATATGAAAGACGGGATCACGTCGGGTAAATAGATACCAAACATGTCAAGCCTTAAAATTCGCCCGTTTTAAACGCTTTTACCGCTCATCAGTTTAGTGCTAACAGTCATTGACAGTGCTAGAATCATTGCTCTCGCTCCGACGTTTGCGGCGATATGTAACATGTGTAGCGCAATTGTCGTTTTTGCACGTAGGCAACACTTTATCTGTACAGATGCCGGATCACTTGTAAATTAACAGCAATCGCCTGCTGTTAAGAGTGGTACCAAGAACACGGCTGCTGCAGCAGCCGTTTTCTTGTTGTAACCACTTCAAAGGGCCGCCATCTATAGACGTATTGCGGCCCGGAAGTAGTTTAGTTGTGTTGAGAAAGCATGGAAGCAGCAATCACTGACCTCTCCTTCTGAATATGCTAATGTCATGGCTGTTATGCTGATCCAATGGCTTCAGCAGTTTTTGAAGACTTTCCTGATTAACATGTTTATTGCAGATAAGTGTCTCGAAGTACTGAAGTCAGGGATAACAAAGACACTGACATTTTCTAAAGGATGTAAGCAATGTCAGCCTGCATATTTCTCTTCATGCAGATGTTATCTAAAAGAAACCATCAGGAAAGAAATATGTGAACTGCCATTGCTGAGGCCACCTCAGGTGAGGTCACCTGAAAGGTGCCCATACACTGCTGGATTCTCGTACGAGAATCACGGGAAATCGCGCGATCGTACGAGAATCGTACAGTGTGAACGAAGACGTGCGACCGTTTCTACTGTACGGTTGCACGTCTTTTGTCTAAGGAGCATGTTAGAAAACCAACCGAGAATC